AATAAGGTAAAAGAATTAAACATTGCGTCGGCCGGGAATCGAACCCGGGTCGCCCGCGTGGCAGGCGAGCATTCTACCACTGAACCACCGACGCTCGCGAATCCAAACGTATTCCGCAAGGGTAATGATGACCATTGTTTGCACTTTTTATTTCTTTGTTCTGCTAAGCGATTGGTAATAAGAAAGCATACATGTGAGGTTTCGAGTTGAATACGAGACGTACCGTTCACTTGAACGTGTAATTTTCCTCAACTGTGACAGTGCGTGAAACGCCATAACTTCGTTACAGAGAACTCGATCCGTATGTACACGATTTATTGAAACTGCAGAGCTTTCGAGACCAACTTTTTCCAATCTTCAGCATCAGTTGTTTAGCGTTAATCCTGCAACCGCTGTCACTTTAATGTACAATTTACGCTGACAACTTCGAAGAATTCGGTTGTCATATTAACATTGCTTAAGAAGCTCAACAACGGCTTTTCGATCGATGTATTATCAAATATTGAAGATACTTGATGAAATGCAGCTTCTCAGTGGGACTTCCTTTGCTTTCGAAAGAACGCTTAAAACACGCGGGAGCTATCTTCAACCTTATTTGTCATAATACATAAAACATTGAGCTTAATGATGTTGAAGAAAATTCCGCTACACTTCTGTAGTCTTCGAAAAATAGGGAACCAAAATGCCAACCCCTGTAGCGCAGAGGATAGCGCGTTGGGCTTCTAAGTCAAAGGTCGTGGGTTCAATCCCCACCAGGGGTGACCTAATAGATCACACCAGCGGTAAAAGTAATGTGGCTTCATGTCTTGTTGGGGATCTTATTTTCCTTGAAATCAGACGGGCACCTAATAGCCTGCTTTCATAATTTTACCAAATGTGACCCTTACCAGTGCGTTGCTTATTCTAAACTTCAGCCCGGCGCTTTTGCCGGCATCTTCGGGGCATCGATAAGCAGAAGAGGGATAATGCCATGCAGCAGTAGTTTCTTCTATGAAAACCTATCTACACGTTACAAAGAAACCTATACCCTCAATCAACTGCATTGCCTATTCAGTTTCTTACAGGCACATGCAATAGCGATCAGTCCGTTTTCCTGTTCGGTAATAACAAGCTTTTACGACCTTGGATAAAGCATTCATGGAATCTCGACCCCTGTAGCGCAGAGGATAGCGCGTTGGGCTTCTAACTCAAAGGTCATGGGTTCAATCCCCACCAGGGGTGGCCTAATAGATTATGCCAGCCTTAAAAGTAATGTGACTTCATGTCCTATTGGGGATCTTATTTTTCTTGAAATTATACAGGCACCTAATAGCCTGCTTTCATAATTTTACCAAATGTGACTGTCATCAGAGTTGTTGTTTATTCTTAATTTCAGTCCAACGCTTTTCTGAGCATTTTCATGGCGGCGCTAATCAAAAGAGGGATAAAGCTGTGCAACGAAGATCTACACAACCCTTGCAAAGCAATGTATGTTCAATGAACTACATTATCTTTTGAGTTTCTACCGGCAGATGTAATTAGCGATTGGCCTTAAGTTTCGCGACCGTTGGATAAGTGATTTAGGCTATCACAACCCCTGTAGCGCAGAGGATAGCGCGTTGGGCTTCTAACTCAAAGGTGTGGGTTCAATCCCCACCAGGGGTGGGACAATGGCTCGTGCCAGAGTAAAATGTGACGTAGCTTCATGTCCACGGAACTCATTTTCCAAGGAATCATATGGGCGGTTAGCAGCACTTTCCAAAATTGTTGCTATTAGCAAATATTTTCTTAAGCCACTTTAAATGTACAATGTATATGTAGCTCCATGAGCGCAGTTGAAGGTTTACGCTGAGCGCGTTAGTTTATCCCTTCAATGATTATAAGCTCACGAATAATAAAACGACAACATGCATCTCCATGCATCTCTTTTAGAATTGACCTCCATTCATTCTTTTCAGTATGAATGCGTCAGCACGCCTCGCTTTGAAATGGAGATTGGTCCATTCAATCTTTGCTCTTGCAAATCTTACTTAGGAACTCATATGATCAAATGAGTCCTTTATCAATGCTCTCGTTTCATTCATCGTGTATTCTAAATTGCAGTCCTCAAAAATGAAGTGCTCTTTATATAAAGGTTTATACACTGTTCTAGTGATCAATATAATTTATATATTCCTTCCTAAATGATCAATTTTAGCCATTGCTTTATGGCTACGTGGCATCATTCTTTGTTGGCCAGGCGTCCCTTCCCTCTTTTCCGCCAATTTGCAATGTGGTGGATCGTTGAAGATAAGCATTATTCAAGAATACTTCTTTTATATGTTCAGATTACGAAGAGACGAATTCTGGGTAGCATATTGAAATTGCAGGTTGTGGTCTTCCTCGGGAGTATGAAAATGTTTGCACTCATTGCAAGAAGTCCTATATTCAATGAACCAAGTTAATCTTTTGAGTTCTCGCAAGGGTACGCAAAAATAAGTGCAGGCACATTTTTCCTGTTCGATAATTGTTGAACTTTTTGTAAGGAGGGAACGAAAATGCCAACCCCTGTAGCGCAGAGGATAGCGCGTTGGGCTTCTAA